TTTTTAGCCAGGCTTAGAGCTAATGTATGAGACAGGAGGGGACCGTGATGGTGGATGAATAACATCTTTTAATTAAATTAATCTGGCAACATTATAGAGGTGACTAGAAGAGTCTAGAATCATTAGGCTTATTGCATTGACTCATGTCTGTGGCACTGTGGGCCTGAACTCTGCCTGTCCATAATCCTGATGGGAATTGAGAGGACCCCATTCAATTTAAAAAGAGACTAGCCACAAGAGTGACGAGAATTTGAATGTTGGAAATTATTTCACAAAATGCTATTTTGTTCCTCAGCCAGTCCCTTGCCCTATTAAATCATCTTGGGTGTGTGTTATTGTTGTTGTTATTCTTAAGCTACTTACCATTTCTTTATCCCTTCTTGATGATGGTCTCCCCATCTCTACTTCATCATTTTTCCTTTTAATCTTAATCTAAAATGTGCTCAGCAGGTATCCTCTGATTATTAATTGGAATGTCCACTGGTGAAGCTTGCACAGTGGCATTGCAATTACTTTTCTGTATCTTTTTAATTTTTTTACCCCGTTGTTCACATCTGAAACAGAAAATGTCTGTTCAACCTCTTGATCCCAGCAATTAGTTAAGTGGCATGCAGCTAGTTATCTGGGGTCAGGCTCAAATACTGAATTATCTCTGTTCAGGTCTGAATGAGAATCTTCTCCGGCAGCAATACCTATAATTAGTGTGTAGTTGCAAGAAAGGTTTTTGGGAGTGGCGGGTCTCAAAGTGGCATCTCAGATGAGCAGCATCTGCATGAGCTGGGAAATTGAGAGAAATGAAAAATCTAGGGCTCTTACCCCAACCCTACTAAATCAGAAACTGGGGATGGAGCGCAGCGAGATTCTAACAAGCCCTCAAACCACATGCCAAAGTTCGAGAACCATTACCCTGGAGAAATAGCTTCAGAGGATTTGGCAGCCAGACTCAGGGAGGACGGAAAACAGACTGCAGAAAACCCAGGGACGTTTAGAGGCTGCAGGGAGGGGCAATCCTTCCCTCTTGGAGATGAGGCAGTTGCCCAGAGCAACCACTGCTAGCAGTGAGATTTTATGTTTAGAGCTCCTGCCCTCTGAAAGAAAACCTGGTTAGCCCTCACTTGCCTTGTGCTCTGGAAAGACAAGTTCTGAAGTCAGTCTTCAGGAAGGTCTGTTGGATCTTCCTGCTCAAGGGTCTTTTGTGAAAATTCTATTACTAAGTAGATGAGGAAAGAGAAAGATTTCCCACTTTGGGTGAGTCTCATTTTCCTCCATGGAGACATCTAAATGCTGAGGATATACTTACTTTATGGCCAAGAGGAAACAGGAGTTTGTATTTCAACCTCTATCCTACAACTGAACCCATACCCCATAAGAAGCATCTCTTACTGAGGCTCTCTTGAAGGTGCCCAGTCATGGAGTCCTGGTCAAAATGCTAAATTTGCCTATAGTTTTAGTATCACACTTGTTTCATGGACTATGGGAGCCTAGGAATGAAAAGTCTGCCACTTACCAAGTATCTCGAATCCTCTAATTATCAAGTGGTTAGTTAACCCATAGCAGTTTAGGGTAAGTCAGTTTTCTACTACTGGAGGCGGAAGTAGTGTCATTTCAGTTCATCAAACTCCACTTTTTTTTTTTTTTTCTGTTAGCAACATATGCCCATGCAAAGCCTTCCGAAGTGGATGTGCCTCATCAGACTAGAAATCTAAGTTTGTGCGTGATCCAGAGTCACTTTCCTGTGTACTTTGTTTTTGTTTTTTTATACAATTTCTTTGCTAGCTTTTGAAATTTCTGTGTATCTAGACAAGGAAACTCCTCCTACTTCACACAAGAAGGGAGAAGCATTTGTATTTCATTCTCCATCCCGCAAGGAGCATTAATTATTAAGATAAAGTCTCTTTGGGAGGAAAATAAATCATGGTAGATAGGGCCAACTCTTTTGTTGTTGAATTATGTATTCTCTTTTTAAAGGTTCAATGAACTTCTCCATGGGTTGTTTCCGTTTGGGAAATGAAATAATGGTGCTTTGGAAGCTCCACTCTGTGGTGTCTGATTGTGCGAGTCTGTGAACTATAGGCACTCAGAGGACTTATCTCGGAGGGGATCTGATAAACAGTTTTGCTGCCACTTGAAAAAAATCAGGCAGAGCATTTCTCCTGGGGCTCTGGTGGCAAGCAGGAAATAGCTAAAAGGGATAGAAAATACATTGCCCGATCACTCATCCTACCTGGGTCTTTTGTCCCAGAGCTTCCTGCTTCTCTGCCCACCCCCTGCCCCCTCATATTACTGGGGTGTGCCCATATTACCTGCCAGCTTCAGCCAGAGGAAAAGCCACCTACACCAGCAGCATCATTTACTTCCTTTAGTATTTCAGCTCTAAGTTTAGTACTCAAGGAATAATCATGAAACGATAATGAAATCAGTTCTAAATTTTTTGTAAGGACTAGAGAAAAGGTCCCGTATGGCTTCAACATGGTTTTCTGTAAACCAGTTGTGTTGTCAAGGTGCATTTTTCAATACCACATCCTCTAGCTTCAAGCCCTCTCATTATTGCCATTGAACATGAGGAATATGAGAAGGGACAACAGAAAGGACCAGGAAGGCAAGAAACAGTGGAGAAGTCACTGCAGCTGATTCCTTATGCTCTTCTCAATACCTGTTTCCATTCATATTGAATCCTAATGTCCTCTGTAGCATTCAGCTCACATCTCTGCCCCAACTATTCCATTTTCTACCACAGCCTAACAAATACTTTTCCAATTACATGTATGTCTAGGTTACCACCAAATTAACCACAGAAACCACAGGATTAGTAGGAGCTAGGGAATTCACGATGGCCCCAGATATGCCACCAATAACTACACCCGTAATGACTGTGAGGGCAACAGTAAGGTTTTGGCCTTGGTGAAGCAATAGTAAGTTTTCCACGATAGTCTTGGGAACCAAGTGTTTTTTTCTCTCCCCTTGACTGGGTATACATCAATCTTGATGAATATGAATTTATAAATCACAGCTAAGTGAGTCCCCGCTGGCACAAATGAGCACCTGAGTACAGCAGTTACCTACAGATCTCCCCATCCTTGCTGCTTATTCTCTTACACACACACACACACACACACACACACACGCATGCATGCACGCACGCACGCAAACACACACATGTTTATTCTTTAGTAATGTATCCTGCCTGTGGCTTGCGTAGCATGGAGATGCATTGTCTCTTCAACCTGGAATCTATAGGATTTCTGGTCAACCTAGTTCATGTACATTTTTCACTGCAACTAGAGTGGCTGGAAACTCTGACACCCATGGACCTTTGGGTCTTGTTTGGTGTGAGAATTGCAGAAGCGTCACCGATTCACTGTAGCCTGGATTTTCCCTTTTGCATCTAAATCAGTACCTGTATAGGAGAGGAGGCCTAGGGCCGCGGCAGGCTGTGATGTTTGGCTTCCTTGCTTGTGTCTCCTTTCAGCATTGGACTAACCAAATTCCATGCTGTCTTTCTACCCACTTCCCTACCTTAGTGAAAACCTGGCAATTGTCTTTTTTTTTTTTTTAAAGAACTTTTTCAGTGTTATTTTTTATTCAGTTTGCCTAGTTTGTGAATGCAAATATAGGTTACTCTTAATGCTTGTCTGGAGACTTTTCCACGGATTTGGGAGATGACACAGGGCATGTTTGACTTGTAGTAGAGATGAAGAATGGGTAAATCCGGTGCATGGAACATGATTGGAGATTCCCAGAGATTGACTCACCCTGCCTCCGAGTGGGCCCTGAGTTCCTCTACTGTGCAGATTCTTGCCTGTTGAACAGCCAAGCATTGTCCTTGCAGAAGTGCAACTATACTAACTGGTATCGCATCAGTGATTTCCAAAGTGGCACTACACAGAAATGCCTTCATCTTGCATTTCTCAAGCTGGCCCTCTCCCAGAGGGAGGAGGTCTATGTCGCTTCCCTTTGGGGAAAGTGTTCTGCTTTTGTTGGTATTCTATCTCCTTTCCCTCACCTCACCTTCATGTTCCTGGCTTGGGTGTTACTATTTACCTACTGATCACAGTGTATAATATGGATTTCCATTCACAGCTTTGAGATGTTTGTGAAGCTTTCCTGCTTTCCACCCAGCCCAAGCCTTGGGACTTTCCACACATTGATCCTCTGATCAATTTGACATGGGAAAGCACACAGAAGTCTTGTACCAGTTTGTATAGTAGTACCCTTTTGAACTGGTGATTCTTGATGTCAAGTGTGCTGGGGATTCGCATTGGCTGCTCAACACACGTATACCAAGTCAATTACCATGCATGCAAAAAAAAAAAAAAAATTAACCCTTAGAGTACTGCTTCAACATTTTGGTTTGATGATCTGAATTTGACCCGTTGGACAATGCTTCTTTTCCCAGATCCGAGTCCTGCACAGAAAGTCCATGCTTCATCTTACCAGAACATCACCCAGGATCCTCTCCTCTTTAGCTTTTTTGAGATGCCTCTGGGTCCTGTATTTGTTAATCAACTAATGGTTTTTGTAAGGTCCAACATACAACCATTGTGTTTAATTGAAAATGGGCCCCACTTCTGATGTGTTGGAGGGCATGAGCAACTGTGTGTTAGCTTTGGTATGGATCCTCTCAAAGAAAGAAATCAGTTCTTTAAGGGTTAATATTAAATTAAGGTATTTGGAGGCCTCTCCTGCTTGTCCTTCCTCCAAGATATCTGCATGATCCTCTTTAGATTCTTAGTTCAACTGCTGAATGATGATAAAAAATGATAGAAGTATCATAATTCCAAAAATAACAAATAAAAGAATAGTAGTTCTTGAATGGTTGAATGGAAGGTCCCCTTGGCAATGCTTGCTTGATGATCTCAGGAGACAGAAAGACCAATATTTTCTTTTATGAATATTCATTTCATCGTCTACCCTGAGCACTGCCACTTCTCAGCATCATGGGAAACTGGATGATACTGCTTGTCATTTACCACTTGCTTTTTCTTCTTCCTGTCTAATAGCCCAATAGAATCCTGCCAGAATTTCTACAAAGATTTCACATTACAGATCGACATGGCTTTCAACGTGTTCTTCCTTCTCTACTTTGGTTTACGGGTAAGTTTGTGCAACATTGTTCAGTATCACATGGGGTGTTTCAGTCTGGGACCCAGGGGTCATCCCCATCAGCATCTGCTCTCATAGCCAAGATAAAACCCAATGTTTCCAGGAAGACAGCACACCTGCATTCTGATTTTCAGTCTGGGAGAGAGCCCTCTCCTTAGCTAAGCATTTTCTGGAATTCACATCAGTTTTGTTTCAAGGGGGAGAACTTGGAATTGAAAAAAAAATGGTGATGTCTCTACTGGTAGATTGTTTCTCATCTCTCTATTCACACAATGCCATGTTCCTTTAAAAATTAAATAGAAATAGGCCGGACGCAGTGGCTCATGCCTGTAATCCCAACAGTTTGGGAGGCTGAGGTGGGTAGATCACCTGAGGTCCGGAGTTCGAGTCCAGCCTGACCAACATGTTGAAATCCCATCTCTACTAAAAATACAGAAATTAGCCAGGCATGGTGGTGAATGCCTGTAATCCCAACTACTCAGGAAGCTGAGGCAGGAGAACTGCTTGAACCCAGGAGGTGGAGGTTGCAGTGAGTTGAGATCATGCCATTGCACTCCAGCCTGGGCCACAGAGTGAGACTCCATCTCAAAAAAAATAAAACAAAATTAAATAGAAAAAAACTTCTTCAGTTCTTAAAATTATGTTTAGCAGCGTTCACTTAGCTGAGCCCTGAGAGAGTAGTTGTGAGTGTGAATGAGAGGGGTGAAAAGAGTAGATAGAATTGCATGCGCATGTGTGTGTGTAAATGCATACATATGTACTTTATTTACAGTTATATTTATATGAATGAGTCTAATAAAAGTAAAATCACCCAATCTTCCCTATGAAGTGGTTGGAAACCACAGAAAAATATACTGCCTGATCTTTCTCTAAGACTAACATAGCATATAGTTAGTCTATATAGGGCTATCTGGGGCACTAGAAAACGTGTGTATCTGACCATAAAAGCATGTGCTTTGTATAGATATGAGAAGGACATGACCTGTCCCTCCAGACCCCCATGAAAGTCACAACTTACTCTTTGACAACAAGAGTGTACATTGAATGCTGGCACCATGCTCCTCATGCTTTTTTTTTCTCTTTCTTGTTTCTTCTTTCCCCCAGTTTATTGCAGCCAACGATAAGCTGTGGTTCTGGCTGGAAGTGAACTCTGTAGTGGATTTCTTCACAGTGCCCCCCGTGTTTGTGTCTGTGTACTTAAACAGAAGTTGGCTTGGTAAGTCAGCCTCTCTTTCCATCTCCTTCCTGGCTCCTGAGTCATGGCTGAAGGACAGAATTTGCAGTGGACCAGGGGGCTGTCTCCCTACAAAGAACATTGTATATATTAGTGCGAACAACGCTCTTGGAGTTTTAGAAGTTTGATGGTGGCAGCTCTCCTTGGAGCACTAGCCCCAAAGGGTTTGCACAGTTCATGCTTCAGGTAATAACGGTTTTATCATTGTCAAAGCCCAGTGGTCATCACTGTCACAGCCAGGGCCTTTATGTTCATGGTTCTGTCACTTTTCATTCAGGACCTTAGAGTCAGGACTGGATTAAGAAGCCCATGAGGGTAAGGCCAACATTCCAAGTGGCTGGCTCAGGCACCCCAGAGGACTGCCTGCCAAAGTTAGCTTCGGTCTGCTTCCGAAAAGTGGGTTCTGCTTGGTCTATTTATAGGTACAAGGTTCTTTGGAGGGCAGGGAGTGATGAAGCTTCTTGAGTCATCTCTCACCTTACAGGAGACCGAAGTCCTTTCTGTGTTAAGGGGAGAGTGTTGCTGGGCTGTGCTGTACAGGGCACTTCCCAGACCAGGATTAGAACACTTTAGGTGGAAAGTAACTTGACCAGATAGTCATGGCAGCCCGGAGAGAGACAACTTCAAGTTTCTTATTGCTGTGTTGATTTCATTTTTTTTCTCTTAATTCAGAGTATTCCTGCTGTTATTGGGTCTACCAGGGAAGAAGGGTGGCTGAAACAGAACCTGGAGGACTATCTATGGGTTTCTTCTGTCCTTATTTTTAGGATTTTTGACTTAGGTTAATTATTTAAAAAGTCATATGCATGCTTTGTAATCAGTGAAAACAAAGATGTGTGAAGAACCCATTCATCATTTTTTCCCCTTGCATCTATCACTCCTTTAGACACCAAGGGTTCCCAGGGCTTCACATCTTTTCACACTCATTCCACCACAAACAAACATGGATGTGCATGCATAATAGTGTTTTAGAGATGGTGGTGTTTCTGTAAGAAATTGTATCAAATAATGACAGTTTGGCTTTCTAATTAATCATGATGGGCATCCCTTCAGCTCTGTGATAACTCATTTTATAACAGTTGCATAAAATTCCATAATTTGTTTATATCACAGTCTATTCAGTATATAACCCTAATGATAGACCACCTGAATGTTTTACTTTTCCTTTTATTGCTGCTAGAAACAATGGTTTAATAAACACTGTTATCTGTATATTTGTATAATTCTATATCTATCAGTAGTTCCATGTTCCTGGAAGACGAATTGCTGGTTCAAAGAATATGTATGTTTTCTTTTGTGCAGACATTGATGGATAACTTTAAAAAAATGTTATGCCAAGATAAGTTTCCACTAGTAATCCATTTTGATGCCATTGCTAGCACTGTAAATTTATTATGTATCTACTGTCAAGTATTTTTTAAAAATAAGCATCTTCCGAATATAGTATGTGTGGTAATCTCTATATTATATGCACATACACACGTCTGCATGCATACATGTGTGTTTGTGTCCATATCCTAAAAATTTCTTTTGCTACTACTTTTCTCATTAGAATTATATTCTCTTGCTCTAAGGAAAAGTTTTCATTCTGGACCTGAGATATGCTTGTTTAGACTGGGTTTTTGCTTACTGTATCCTGATTCCTCCTTATTTTCTCCTTATCCCGATAAGGCTAGTAGAGCCAAGCAAATCTGAGAAGTGTCCTCAGTGTAACTTACATGTGCCTGGGTGCCAGCGGTCCCAGCCACTGCAGCTTCACTGTTAACTGGTTTTGTGACCTGGGAGCTCACTTTTCTTCACTCAGCCCTTTGTTTTTCATCTATAAGATAAAGATTTGGATAGATGATCTCTAAGAATCTTTTAGCTCAGAAAGTCTTTAAGGCTCTTGAGTCATTAATGGGAAATTTGGGAACTCGATCGTTGGGGTGGATAGGGAAGCTAGTAAAATTCTATCAGCAGTATCTCTGAGTCAAAATTATGGATGAGCTGTTCACTGGGACTCCTTTTAAAACATCCTGTTGCTGCAAGTTCAAACGTATATCCACGCACACACAGGGAAATCAGTGGAGAAGGGGAGAGGTGGGATCTGCCTTCTTCACCTGGCAGTGCTTAATTACCCTGTGCACTCGAACAACCCCTTTGCTTTTCTGGATCCTCAGTTTTCCCATCTGAGGAATGGGAGTTTAAAGGAAATGATCTTCTATTCTCACACTTCATTAATCTGCACTCTCTGCCAGTGTCCATTCTCTCTTGGTCCCCCGTGGGCCTGAGCAGTGGAAGAGCTCCCTTGTGCATGTGGTGGAGACATCCTCCCCTGCCGTGAGCAGAACATGCCCCAGGAAAGTTATTGGAGCTGAGCCTCCTTGTGAGTGCCATGTTCCCTAAAGCATTTTAGGGCCAGGAGTTCTGGTATGCTTTGAAATCTGTGGCCTCCTTGTGGATGATTTAATTTTGATTTCTGGAGATACATTCTGATCTCATAAAAAAATCTATTGGCACAAACAGAGAAAGGGGGAAAAATAATTGAACAGGAAATAAAAGAGGTTGAAATGAATTTCTAATGAGATACATCTTTGTATCGACTGTGGTTGCTTTCCAAAAGAAAGGTGCTCTAAATGTGCTTCCATTTGTATATTCATGTTTAGTGAACATCTGCTATATGTCAGGCACCATTTCTGATGATTGGGAAACAACAGTGAAGAAGTAGAGGTCTATCCTCCTACTCTCCTATATTGCAGTGTGGGCAAAGCAGGAAACACTGAATCTAATAAGGAAGTAAATGATATGGTATGGTCAGGAATCGTGTAAGTGCTATTGAAGTTGAACGCGTAGAACAATAACCTTTTGGGCTATGAAATAATAATAAGAAAAATAAAAAATAACCTCTCTCCTCTTGTAGGAGAAAGCACCTTTAATGAAATGCTTTTGGTTCTTTGGTAACAAAATCTCCTTGGGTGAGATCTAAAACGGATCTCCCTGTGATGGAAGAGTTCAGTTCTCATCTGATTTAATACATGGGTTCTTACATTGTGAAATAATTATTGTACCGATGAGCTGATGAGCTGCCAGAGAGAAAATGAACATTCCCATGAGATATGACTTATGAAGGAGAAGAAATAATCCCATTAAATACGGATGTTCCAGGCATGGCTGTCCTTCTCCCGGAAAGTGGAAGGGTGCTGCCTTCTCTGGCTAAGGTTTGGGATATGATGCAGGAAACTGAAGTCTAACCTAGGCCTCCTGCACAAACTTTCCTGGCCCTGCTGCGGGTACAGGACTGTGCAGTAGCTGGCCCTGTGGGAGATAAAAAACAGAGTGAATGCAGGGTCCCTGCCCTTAACTTTCCCAGAACACTCCCTACACCAAGTTTAGTTTTCAGTTGTCAGCATATGATTGCATGTTATATAATATAGAATATAGTTATTGCACAGATCATCCTAGAGCATATAGTAGTGTACTTATAGAAAAACTAATATGAATTCAGCTTCTACAATGTGATGGGCACTCTGAGAAGCCCCTCACATACATACGTGGACTCACTCAATCCTCAGAGCAAACCTATGAAGCAGGACTTGTCATTTCCCCATTTACAGATGAGGAAATTGAGGCTCAGAGAGATTAACAATCTTGTCCAAGGTCACATTACCTGGGAGTGGCGGGAGGGGTGTATTCTCCAAGACGTGGTCTGACTTGACGTCCACACTCTTCCTCTGCTCTTCTGTCTCTGTCCTTACCCTTGATGACTGGTGGTTGGGAGGTCTGGGTAGGGAATGACGGGGCTGGCTTCGCTGCGTTGTGTTGGTATCCTTCCATCGGTGCTTACTCATAAGGGGCTTCACTCCAAGCAGGAAGAGAGGGAACAGATCTTACTTAAGACTGTGCGTTCTCCTGGCTCCTCTTTCCCCCTCCTCCTTGCCCACCTCGAGTTTCTAGAGATGCCAGGAAGACCAGAAGGATGCAGAGCTAGCCTGGTGTCTCCTGAGTCCCAGTACCCCTCAGCAGCTTGGAGATCCGACCTGCTCCATCTGCGATGGAGAGACTGGGGCTTACACACATCCCTAGATATTAGAGCAGAGTAGATTCAAGCTCAGCTCTGAACTCCACCAACTCAGTCCATATCTTGGCTCAAACACTTGCTGATGGGTCACTCAGCATGAGCATTTTGTCTGTCTCAGGCTCAGTTGTCTCACCTGTACAGTGGGGCTAATTATAGCACTACTTCATAGGGATTCACTGAGGTAATGTGAGTAAAACAGCACATACATCATACAAGATTAATGAACAGAAGCCAGGATTACCCTGGCCTCTCTTTCTAACTTAGCTATCATATTTTAAAGCAGTGCAAGAGAAAACAAACCAGAATGGAATAAAAAATAAGGCAGCGGATGTGAGGATACTCCTGTCGGCAGGCGGCAAGTCGCTGCTTATTTTAATTCCTGTCCCCACACACCAATGTATTCATTTTGTTTCCCTTACAAATCCCAACCTCACTGAAATAAATGTACCTTGAAATGAGAGCTGTATCTTATTTTGAGATTTGAATAACGTGCTCCAAGGAGAACTCATTTGTTGGTCTGTCTCATTCTCTTTTGCAAATGTATCCCCAAGGTAGGTCATGGGCTGTGCTGCCTCTGTTTCTGTATATGATTTTGTTTGTTTTTGTTTTTTGAGACGGAGTTTTGCTCTTGTTGCCCAGGCTGGAGTGCAGTGGCGCCATCTCAGCTCACTGCAACCTCCGTCTTCTGGGTTCAAGTGATTCTCCTGTCTCAGCCTCCCCACTAGCTGGAATTACAGGTACACATCACCACACCCGGCTAATTTTTGTATTTCTTGTAGAGGCAGGGTTGCCATGTTGGCCGGGTTGGTCTTGAACTTCTAATCTCAAGTGATCCACCCACCTTGTCCTTCCAAAGTGCTGGGATTATAGGCTTGAGCCACCACGGCCTGCTCGTGTGTATGTTTTTGTTGAGGGTGATCTTGTG